TTTTGCCTATTCTACATTCTTTGCATTTTCATTAGAACATTTCCTCATTGGCATTTTTGCTTTTTATCTTCTATTTAATTCAGATTTTTTCCCTCATTGTCTCAATACTTTTACTTCTTTGTAGAACTAAGTCCTGTAACAGTTTTACTTTGTTTCTGTGTTGTTCTATAAATATTGTGTTTAAGTGATAGATTAGAATCGCTTATTTCATGATTTGTTTCTTTCTTGTTAGTTTCCTTGTATTGGCATGGTTCATAAAAGTCTCTTTCATATAGATAGCCTCTATTTGGTAAACTTGTTTCTAATGACGTATCTACATTGATTGTCTTTGTTTCCTCAACAGAATTTAAATTGACAGCCACAGATTCTACTACATTGAAATGTACATTTTGAGTGTATAGAATGTAAATACCTGTCTCAGTTGTGACATCATTTATTCTTCCTGGATTTTTAGCATAGTACATTTGCCAGTCAAATAACAATTATAATAACAATAATTATTAAAACCTATAAATCATTTGCACAAACTGTAACTAAGCAGTAAGCTGCTATTGTGAAGCACAGCGCCTGGAAAACCAAGCGTAGGCCTGGCGTTCCCGTGTGGGCCTATAATACTGTATACAAGAGCTCAGCCTAGATGGAAGCATTGCAAATGTCAACCACGAAGTCGCCGCTAACCTAGCCTATAATATAAATATTATTAAATTACACTGAACTAAAGGGTGATATGGTATGGAGATCGCAACTGCCGACTCCATATATAATATAATTACTTGATACATGTTAAACATACCTCAATAAATGATATAGTATATGATAATACATGAAAATCCAGTGGTAAAAAATAGTATGGACTGTCACAACGATCTCATGATGTTGTCTCCCACCGATAACCAGTTCGCCCGTGGCGGCATAGTAAATTATTACGCGCAGGCGTAACAACATGTCATGACAAGCACCTTCCTGACGGTCCTTATATTTCTCTCCCAAATACCTCCATGATGAGATACAGTTGGAGGGTTGAATTTCCAGACTATTTGTCTCTGTAACAAATAATTATGAATCTGCTGCTGATTCCATTTTCCTATTGCTTTACGTAATTCCCGTTCTCCTTTTACAAAATTGCCACCGTTGTCAGAGCGCATTTGCTTAGGCATTCCTCGTCTTGCCACGAACCGTCTCATAGCGTTGATAAAGGAGCTTGTATCGAGTGTGTTCGCTACCTCCAAATGAATAGCCCCCACCGATAAACAAGTGAATATTACCCCATATCGTTTGGTAAGTGATCTTCCACATTTTACTTCGAATGGCCCAAAGCAGTCCACTCCTACATACGTGAAGGGTGGTTCTGTCGGTTTTATTCGATCTTCTGGTAGGTCCGACATTTTCTGTGTCATTGGTGCTGCCTGATTTTTCTTGCATTTGATACAATTTCTTACTACGCTTTTCACCGTGACCCTGCCATTGACTGGCCAAAGACCATCTCTGATTAATGCCAGCACATATTCTGTGCCGGAATGGCCACTGATTTTGTGGTTATGCTCGGCAATCAACTTCACGACATGATGGTTTTTGGGCAAAATTATTTGCTTTCCCCAATTGAAGCATTGCGTAACCTACCACCGACTCTCAAAAGACCTTCTCTCAGAATTGGGTCCAACCGCAAGATACTGCTGTCCTTCTTAATCGATTTCTCTTTTTCAAGAAACTTGATTTCCTCAGGAAATTCCCTTCTCTGCAAGTATTTGAATATTGCCTTATCAGCAGCAATCAACTCCTTCACCCCAATAGGTTGAGGCTGACAATCAGTAAATTTTGACTTACTGATCTTGTCCACAGTTCTTCTTACAGCTTTACGAAGATTTTCCTTGTATCGGAGGATCCAAGCTGTGGTTTTACGCAGTTGATGCCATGAAGAAAAGCGACAGCAACGTTAACATTCTTTACTGATCGATTGTGTAGTTATGAGAAAACTTGGGCCATTTTTCTTCATCATTTTTTAAGAACTCTGGCCCCTGTAGCCAAATCTGGTTATCAACAAGCAATAAATGCTCCACTTCTCTCGATGCCAAGTCAGCCAGGTTGTGCTGCGAAGCAACATGCTGCCACTGATCTTCATGGGTTGTGTTAAGTATTGTTGAAACTCTATTAGCAACAAATGTGTGGTAACAGGCATCCTTGTTTCGCAAATATTTCAGGACACATGTACTATCGGTCCAGAAAACTGATCGATCGATTTGAACGCCCTTCAGTTCATCATGAATAATGGTATCTAACCTCGTCGACAATACTGCTGCAGTTAACTCCAACCGTGGAATTGTTAATGCCTTTGTTGGTGCTAGTCTAGCCTATAGAATTTGATTTTTCCGCGTAGGCCTACTGTAGGCCTAGCACGAAAATCGGCTTTTCATTTCGATTTAATTAAGAGGCTGCAAAATTGTGTTTCCTAGCTAGGGCCTAGGCCTAGCCTGTGTAATTAGGCCCCTTCTAATACCATTGATGAGTGATTACTTACAATTGATTCCATGTGGCGTCTCGCTGTATGTTTAGTAACGAAAGTCGTACCATTAGCGTAGTTGTCAACTTCTTTAGCTGTTACCCCCTTTATTGAATTATCTTTTTTGATCAGTTCAAGGTGTCGCCTACATGACTTACAATAAATACTTCTTACGATTTCGACTCCATGAATATTCTTCGCAGCATCGTATCCATAAATATGGGTCAAATTCCACTTAAAAAATGTTTGTAATTGCACTGAATTTGGCATGTTGGTGATTTTTTAGTTATAAAAATATCAACATGTCCGGCCGAATGCATGACATTCAGATTACCACATCATTATCATCGCTCACACGTGCGTGGACAGATGTACCGTCCCGTTTGTGCGCGTTACTGTAATTACTCTCGAGTTAAAGTCGAAAGTAAATACTGTAATGTCAATTACATATAACGTGTTGGATCTCAAAAGTACACTCCATGTTAACGCTCAAAAGTAAGAACAGGTTGTTGACCAATAATACAGTTTGACAGATGCAATCATGCAGAAAGGGCACGAAAGGGGTCAGTATAACAGTGACGCAGGCGAAGAATTTAGGTGCGCGATTTTCCACGCCCCTTCACCATAAACATCTCATACATCCTGTTAACCAATCAGGGCACACCTCTTGGGGTGGCCAAGTCTATTATATTAGAAGGTAACTGAGGGTGAGCCCATATCCGTTTATTTGATTTATCACCAAAGTTTACAAAATCATTGATTACATATGAGGGTGATAATGTGATCCTTTATTATTACATATACAGTATCAGTTATAATTCAGAGATTTTATATAAACCTAATGCAAGTACAGCACATTACTAATTACTTAAGTAATATCCACATTACACAATTTAGAAAATATTCTGTTAATCAGTCATATGAGTCAAATATCATTATTTACATAGCATAGATGAGGTAGAAGGTGTATAAACTCTGTAGTCAACATTATTGTTTGTTCTGTATGTCATTGGGCAAAATAAATCTATTTGTGTGATTGTTGGCCAGGTATGATTGGCAATTATAAAGAAAAATAATAAGATAGAAAGTATGAGAATTGTAATACTAAAAATCCAACAAAAGTTTATTTAAAAGGATCAAATATGTTATTACGTTTGAATATTAACAAGCACAAGACCTTTATTTCCACTGACTGTTAGTGTTGCATCAGATTTTACATTAGATAAGAAAATGAACCATTTTGTAATAAAGTTATGAAACTATAAAATAAACCAGTGAGAATGATGTACAGTATAGCTATTATGGTAGTAGGCCTAAAGTGTTTTACATCTGGGAATGATAATAAATATCACAACCTATTAATATTTATTATGCAGATATGTATTACACTATGCAAAAATGTTAATTTTATTTAAATCAATCTCATGTAACTGTATATACGGTACACAGAAAAGAAATGTAGCAGTGTATATTTTTGTTAAGTTTGCCATTATAACATCATCTTCATAACTACACTCATTACAATATTCATTTGCATAGCTGGGTGGGACAAATAAGGAATGATAACATGGTTTTGCCTTACTCTGTCATCTGAATGATGTTCCTTACTTTAAGCTATAGAATAATATCACTTGCTAAAATGCATTAGTCTAAATATTCATTTTAAAGTTAAGTCCATATAGAGAGCCAAATTTGAAATTGTTTTGGATCTATGTAGTGTCAGAACAAACAAGTCATGCCACTTCTGCTGAAGACTAATGCATGTATAATTGTAATAGAACTTTATATGATAAAGAGAATAAAATACACTTTTTGATAGAACCTTGGTGTTTGCGGATTTGTGTGTATAAATGTGTATACTGTAAATAAATTATTCATCTGACTGAAGATGGCAATTTATAGTGAAAGTGATTAATATCAACCAGAATTACATGACAGGAGACTGTGGGCTGTCAAACATGCACATCTGTATGCTGTCAACCTTTAGCCTCAATATCCAACAGGCAGCATTTAGCAGAATAGTCCATTATCTGTATTGTAATGCTGTATCTTGGAAACTGAATAAAATCAAATTTGATCAAAGTGCCATCCGACAACATTACATGTACCTTAATGGATGCATATGGACACAACATGTTCCTCCTTAACCCGCCTAACTCTCAGTGTGAGTGTTATCAAAGAGTATAAATAGAATAAAGAGAGCATAAACAAACGATATGCCATACACAGCCAATGTAGAACGCACGCTACCAATGGATTACCCAGTATTGCACAGCGCATGGTTTGTTTATTTGTGTTTCTGTTTTTCAAATGATATTTGCAGAGGGTAGTAGATTTCTTTTTTTCTTTATCATTATACCATTGAAGTGGGTGCACTCCATAATGTTGACGGCGACTTCCATCGCAACTAGGGGATTGACTTATTTACAAAAGGGTGTTCACCTCTTGTTCTATTTATACTCTTTTTGAGAAGCCGAACAAGAACCAGGAAGCCAAATGCTCCGTGTATATGTTATACAGTATTATGTATAATTTAATTCAATAATAGTCCATGTAGTAGCAGATAAGAAATTCATGTTAATAAAATCACACACAACCAACAAGGATATTGCAGTTATCTGAAGTGAAATTCTAATATGTCGTTGACATATGCCACAAACTCTGTTATGGTTGGAAATAACACTGGAACGAAATGAAGTGAAGCATTGCAATATTTATTTGCTACAAAGAGCTGCCATATATTATCGGTTTACACAAGAAACAATTACAAAAATTCATTTTATGAACAATTACAATAAGCTGATGTATAAGACAAAACTAAAGTCTATTAATCAATGTATGCAATCATTTCATTTTTGTATCATATGTATTTATATATTTCTGTGAGACACGTGAAACAACTACATCAGATTCTATTATATAATCATATATGAAATGTAACGGTAATAAATACTCAGAATAAATTATACTATCAATAGAATGTATCCTAACAAATATGTCAACGACTCCTATAGTTTTTGTCAATGCTTGACATAAAATTAACGAATACTACAGAAAGTCAAAATATTTGTTATAATTTTTACTTTATAAACAATAGAATTTATTGTGTTTCTGAGTATTCAATAATGTTACATTTTTTATATATATTCAGAACACACTTGGATGTCAATTCTACATTGAGCAATAGTGCTCAATGTAGAATGGGTACAGCAAAAGTTTCACAAGTCTCCGTAAATATATTTTATTACATCTACAGTACGTTACACATACATTTTATATAACATATATTGCATTAAATAGCACTCCTATGCAGAGTTTATCAGCAATTTTGAAGTACACGGATGTTATGTTTAGATTTCTTTTTCTGGCTCATGTTTGAACAATTTTCAATGCAAATTGTTACACAGGATTTGAAACCAGGCAATTTTTCAACATGAAGATCTTTTTAGTCTTACACCAGCCTAATAGATTTACATAACAACTTCTATGATGACTTTTTTCTCGTGTGTAACATATATTAACATTTAAAATACTTGCATAATGAATCAGAAAGACATAAAATAAATAAATTGGATGCAACAAACTGTTGTTTTTTTTGTCCTATTATTAGAACATTTTTTTTTTAAATTAAAATTTCAATTTTTGTAGCATTTCATATTACTGTATTTTAAAAACATAATGCCATGACGAGGCTGTCATTAATGTCAAATTTGTAATCAGCAAGTTCAAAACACTCCGAACCGGATTATATTTTTACTCCAAATTTCCACCTGCATCATGCTTTGCAGGCTAGAATGCATTTGGAACTGGCATTGAACTGCAGCTTATCTTGAATAGAGAAATATACTACAGTATATTGTTTATTTAAAATGCATTTACCAATGGCCATCAATACATTACAAATAGTTTGCCCTCCTCCTATTCAAGACCATGTTTGGGGTCTGCTTAAGTTGTGGTGGTCTTGGGTTTTTGTCTCCTGTTAAAAAGGTAAGCTTGTTAGTTGGTACATGAAAATGTGGTCTTGAATAAAAGATGTATGTTAACAAAAAGTTTATTGTTTCTGTTTATAGAAATAGACTGATATTTTAACAAATAATTCAAAATCTTGTAAAAACTAATTATACAGTACAGTATTAACATTAAAAAAAATAATCTTAGCAAAACTATTTGAGATATTTATAACTTACCAAATGTATAATCGTATTAATAAGATACATGACAGCAGGGGTTCCAACTTTTAATGGGAACAAATATAATCACATGCCAATTAAAGCTGCGAGTTATTCATTTACTTCAGTCCCATCTGTAGGTTTATGTAAACAACTAGAAATGGTACCCTCAGATTACCGATATTCAGTAATTTATGTCCAAAACAACTCATTAAATATACTGTATATTTAAACTATCCTCTCAATAAAAATTAAAATTCAGATCATAATGCACGATAAATTATTAGACTCTTCATTTTTTTGGTTTTTAATACTGAAATTATTCAGGTAGTCTGGATTTAAATTACTCATGGCAACATAATTGATCATTGACATTTCGACGTCTGACAGTAGTCTCTGTTTCCTCTGCATCTTTTAGCAGTTGTTCCTCAGAGCTGCTGTGAGGAGTAGCAGAGTCTACATCTTGGAGTAGCTCCTCTCCTACTCTGACAAAGCTATCACTACTGCCACTGCTATCACTTGGTGAACCTTCAGTGGATTTATTTTCAGTTACAGGAACATCGGAATTACCACCAGCTTGAAGAAGTGTCTCTACATTAGGCCGATTCCTAGCTCTTATGGATGCAGTTAAAGGACCTTCATTTTCTATGTTTTCATAAGACGATGCTGATGCACTCTGTTCTGATGTTTGTGAAGTATGTGGTTGTCCAGACACCCTACCCACTGGTGGAGTAACACCAGTGAGTGAGGAATCCAGGACAGTAGTGTATGCAGGCCTAGATCTTGCCAGAGCTGAAATGTTAAGTAATACAAGTATAATTATTTATAGAGTAGAGTGCAGTATTATACATACTTATCTAATCACTATGTGCATAGACCAATTTCTTTTGCACAAAGTGATATGGTTGCAGTAATATGGATTTAGTATAGGTTTAGCTTGAGGAATGGAGGGACCAGTCAACACATGGTCTTAAACTGACTATTGTCCAAATTTAATGTTTGAGAATTTATTCAATTGTATATGATACTCAGTTTATCTTTGAAGATTTTTTTTTTAATAATAAAGTATAAAATTCAATATTTTGGAACTGCCTATATTCAATTAAAAATAATTAAACTTTTTTATACTATATGAATACACAATGTTTAATAATGACAGGGATTTTTATTAGTAAATAAGCAAAAACCAGAGAAAAGTAGTGTTTTGTTGTCAAGCGATATGTTACGTATAATAAATAAATAATAATAATAAAATAAATAATAATATAATAAATTGTATATGATATTCAGTTTATATTTAAATTGCATTCTATTCAAAATATTGTTACATTAGGAGTAGGGGAAGGAAATAAATAATAAATCTGCCTGTTAACTCATTGCCTGATATGTATCCTCCCACAAATCATTAATTTGTTATACTAACTGGCCCATTAAGTCAAACCGCTGTACTCTCTTGGATACTAACCCAATCGTTCTTGCTCAACTGTTCTCTGCGCCTGCTGAACACGGGCATCATACCTGCTCTGGGCTGGGTTATTACCATGTCCTGAAGCCTGGATGAGGGATTGAGTGTTTTTTGATATTAACCCAATGCACCTATACCACGACAGTGCTGTGATGAAAGAGAGCAAAGTGAAGAAACCAACAATACCAAAGAATGCAGAGCTGATTGGCCAGAAGAACATGAAGTACCTAGGAGAAAATAATAGCATTTTCAAAAGTTGTACTGTATTAATAATGACATAACAAAACTAGAGGAACCCATAAAAATTATCAACAACATTAAATCAACAACAGCCAGTGGCAACACCACCTGGGTGACAGGGGGATTAAGCTCCCTGTTAGATAGGCCAGGCCTCCCTCCTCTGATACAAGTTGTCGAATAAGAAAAATAACAGGTGTTATCGTCTACACCTCCACCAAGACTTTACCCCACCAAAAATTATCGACCACTTTAGCCCATCACGCAAATCCTAATGCCAGCACTGACAAGGGTCTCTATTGGTTTAAAAAACATGACAACAGCAATATCTAGACAGAACAAGATGGAGAGGTATCACAGAAAGAAAAAGATTATGATTGTAACTGAAACGGATGGTAAGTTATGGCCAAAAACAACACTACTCCCTGAGCTTCATAATGAGACTTAATCACTTTTCAAAGTGGCAATCCCATACACACAAAATGCTCTACATGGACTAAGTTTTTTAAGTGAAGATGTGTTACCTGAGGCCGCTGAAGCGAGCATAAACTTCCAAGGATGCAGTGTACATTTCAATCCGACGAGCTTGTATCATCAAATTTGCTCCAACAATAGGGTGGTACTGTACACAAAATATTTAAATAAAAAATAATAATAATCATCATGTAATAACCAATTAGAAAACCACCAAAAATTGATATAATTTAACTGAACATCTGATGTTGAACAAACTTAGTCTTATTAACCTAGAGTATGTTGATACTTTAAGGTAACACTATTTTTCATAGACAAAACAGAAGTATATTGAAAACCTGAACATTTATTCTATTCTACACTATGTTGTCCAAACTTTTGTTAATTGTATAATTAAACAGGGTAGGTAGCTATTTGAAACAAGTATAAACACCTGCATTATTATTTAAAAAAATAAATGGTCAACTACAAATAATGAATGATTCACTTACCGCATTATCTATAAAGTTATCAAATAGCTCAACAGTTAAACCCTCTTTTTCATTTTTATAGCCAGTCATTAAGAATGGCGAAAGAAACAGCACCTCAATGTACTTCAGCAGTGGAGATCTGTACTTGATTAATGCCTGAGAAAAATTGACAAAACTATTAATGTATTGATTAATTTATTCATTATACCACTAATTTATTAAAATGAATAAATATCTTAATTCTTTATTCATTCCTTCATTCATTTATTGAATCGAAGCACAAGATTATCCATAAGATGAGAATGAACAAAATTATTAATAAAATCACTTTTATTAGGAATAATTACTGTATCACTAGCACAAATGCAAATAAAAGAACATTATCAACAAGTTTAAAGGCAATTACTTTAAAGTAGTACAATTCTTTTAAATAAAAATAGTTTATATAAGTTACAGATCCCATTCAGGAAATTGAAGTAAACCTTGAAAATAATCTTGGTAATCATGGTAATAGTGATTAACACATTAATGATAAAAATGCAATTCTTGGTAAATCAGGAATTACTATAGTCTATAACTCACAGGTCGGGCTGACTTTTCTACAATTTTGCCACCACTAGCAAACAACTCCAGCTTTATCATAAACATTCCTACAGGAAGCATAATACAGTATTGCATTACTTAAAGCAATAAATACAAAATAAGAATGAACAATTTAAGGTTTTTGTACGATATGATACAATATATTTTATTTGGCCCAAGAGGAAATTCATTTGTACATGTAAAGTAAAGTTCTTTCAACATAATCAAAGAAACCTAACCTAGCTATGCATCATGGGGTAGGGACTTTTAACTTTAATCCACCAAGGTCCTAATGACCCCTACCCTAATAACCGAACTATGAATTATTATTATTGTATTACATAAATACAAATTATCAAACCACAACACAGAGCAGTTTTTTAAGGGAAAATAAATATAAAACTACAGTACAAAATGTCAAAAACCAAAACATGATACAAGGGTTTTGTGCATACTCTATGATCATGAAGCTTTGCTGACTTAACCCAAGTTATATCAGGGTTCCGGAAATTGGAAGTCTCCGGCACTTCCCGAAAGCCAGCAAGAATCTCAAGGAAAATAACCTATCTTCCACAAATTCATAATACAGTAGACCCCTATTAAGGGGACACCCTCAGGCCAAAAAAGATGTGCCCCCTTAACTGGGATGTCCCCTAAATAGGGGTTGGTCATAGTTTTAGAGGTAGGGGTGTCCTAAAGGAGGGGTTCTACTGTATTGTATTTTCTTGTTTTTACTACTTTAACAGTGCCGATCACAATCACAATGCGCAGAAAAGTAGTTAGATGTGTGATGTTAGATGTTCATTGACTAGATCTCCCAAAAATGACTTCTTCCAACTTGGGACGCCTGGCATATCTCTGTTTAAATACTGACATACTTCAGTCTACAAAACCAACCAACCAACCCAGCTTAACAAAAAAATACAAACCAAGATTTTCATTGGTTGGAGATTGGGGGACATCCATCTGTAGAAAGATATTGTAACTCTGACCTCGCATTAGAAACTAAAAGAAAAAGAACATAATAATTATATTAAATATTTAATTACAAATGTAATTTGCTATCTCCAATAAAGTTTTAATTCATTCATTTTTGTTACTAATTTGTTACAAATTGTAAATTCAATGCAATCTGAAAATGGGGAGACAACAACCAACCAAAGTGAAATAGGCAGGTTACAGCTAGTATTAAATAAACTGAAACATCATTTAACATTGGTATAACAGACCTGCCAATCCCTTGGCCATGAAAATCTGGAAAGTTTTAAAAAAATCTTTAAAAAATCTGGAGATTTACCAACAAATCTGGAGGTTTCCAGAATTAACTAAAAGATGATGCAATTTACTAGAAAAGACCCATCAAGACAAATCATAGTGGATAAAATCAATGCTACAAAATTACTGCAAAACAACTTATTAAATTGCTGCTTGTCTATCGTGGCGAATACATTGAATAATAAACATCTCATCAATCATTTATGCATAAATCGGAGTATTTTTGCGGAGGGAACCTGCAAATTCAGTGAAATCAGGCGAAAATTACATTCAATCGGGAGAACTGGAGATTTGTTTAGATATCAGGTTACAGCCGACAGGATAGGGTGAGTTGGCAGGTCTGGTAAAAGGTTTAAATTTCAAATGTTTTAATTAATGTATTGTTTATAGAATTATAAAAAATATGCATCAAAAAGATGCACAGACACATGCATATCAATCAGTTCCAATTAATTTAATGCATTATTTGTTCACTTGCATTCATATTACCATAAATAAATAATTTACAGGTACTGTACAACTTAACTTCCCAATAATCTAAAGCGATCATGTGACCATGTGACCAATGAAACTTTTATGCGATCATGAGTCATAGGTTGCAGAAGGGAGCTCCAGCCTTCTGGAGCCGAATCGTTCCAGCAATGCAAATTCTTCAGCATATTTTAGGCCACAAAATTACATGCAGTGTGAAAAATGTCACTATCTTTACCTGTTGTGTGTAAGGTTTTGTCACAAATGTCAGGTTTGCATATGGAAAATAGCACTCCTCAGATCCATGATATCGCTCACATGGACTGAAAAAAAAAAAGTGGAATTAAAAATCTTAATCATAATGTTTTATAGAGTGAGATGGATACCAGGTTAAATACTTAGTAACTTGATTGTTGGCAGTATTTCTTTACCTAAAGTTAAAATATACAGGCCTTGAATGGATTGCAGTTGGCATGTATGCATAATAAAAACTCCCATAGAAAAATGTTGAGATCCAAAACAACAATGCTATTATGGACACAACAAATGTTATTTTCACAACCGTGTCACGAAGCCAAAAATACCACAGATACGTTTCATCTAACATCCATTGAGTAGTTAAATTCACAGACTGTTTCAAAGCATCAAGCATGTTTGGTAACAATTTCAATTACTGAATGAATCTGCAGTCCGTGCTTGCTGAATGTTGGTTATCCCAGCATAGAGCAAAGAAATCTTTGATTCTAGTATCTTTGATGTTTCCACAAACTTGTTTTTTTGTGCTTTGATGTGGGGTCAGAGTGCAAAGTGTGTAAGAAGGACACCCTCAAACTTCGGTTATCAAAAAACGACCAACCACAAATCACACACACTTCACAACCTTTGCAATCGAAACGACCCCGACAACGAAAGTAGCCAACCCAAAAATTGGACAAAGGACGTACTAAATGAAATTTAGTTTGTTATAATGATGCGAGGATAAATTCCTCGTAAACGTAGATTCTACAATAGCTTTTATTACAGAAAAATGTAGAGATTTTGACTGTTTTCTAAGTAAGAAGGATAAAGATGTCTAGGTAAGTACCGAGAATTGAACGAACTCGTTTCTTCTACCAGTACCAGCCTACACTACAGTACTTCCTACGCCTAGCTAGGCCTCGCTAGGCTATGCTTGCACCGTGACCATGCAGCATGGACAGCCTAACTGCGGTAACTAGGCTGGGCCTACTAAGTGCTGGCGTACTCGATAGTTGACAAGCCAGTCACATCCTACTAGAATAGAAGGTTGACAGTACTGTTGGTCTATGTACTGCACTGTCATTCGCCTATTATTTGTACATTTTTACTTTTTGGTACTTAAAAAAAAGCATTTTATTTAATAATATTTTTTACTTTACTAATTTAGCCTAGGCCTAGCCTAACTACAAATTTAATATTAGGCCTAGTCTAGGGGGTAGGCTAATAGGGGTAGCGGATTAAAACGGCAATAATCAAAATGGCGTTAACCAAAATGCCATTTTGGTTAAAATGCCAATGCAGATTAAACTGACAATAGGCTAGACCAAAACAGCAAAGGAACAAATATCAATGAAGCGCCGCCGGGCACAGGACCCTAATTTATAATTTTCCGAATCGTCTTGAAATTGGCTTGATTGTCTATAGGCAAATTGAATATTCGGCTCTTTTTCCCATTTTTTAATTTTTTTTTTTAATCCATGGTGAATTGTTTAGATGCCTTATTTTGTTTGTATTTTAAAGTGTTATTTATTGGAATGTTTACTGCTTTTATATTGTTTTCCCTTAATCCTTTTATTATTGAAGTACTGGACAGAAGTAGGCTTATGTTGTTATTATAAGTGGTTTTAGCCTCATTTTTTCGTCATTTTAATGTTTTTTTTATATATTTAATTTTTTACCGTATTTAATTGTTGTTCTTTTTTATGTATATAATTGGTTTTATGTAGGAATGGAAGTAAGTTTTACTTCTTAAAGAAAACTTTCAGGCCATCCATGCATCATCTTTTATTGTTGTAGTTGTGTATCCTGCCTTGTGCGAATATGAAAGTGTTGCCATTTTGGTTCATTGCGGTTTTACTTATTGCCTTGTTGCCGTTTTGGTCATTGCCATTTTTACTTGAAAATGTTTTGACTAGAAAATGGCCTAGGCCTAATTATCAAATTTTATCATGCAAGTACAGTAAACAGAATTTCGTCTATTAAAGACTTTTTACTTTGTTAAAAATTGGATGAAAATTGAATTTCTTTGTATTTTATGATGTGTTAATATTATTAAAACCTAATATTAACAAAAAATAAGATAAGTTTATCGTTTTTGTATTTCCAGTGGTTTTATTAAGCCTACAGTACTTTTAGTTGTTAACTAGTAGGTAGGCCGAAGCACACGCTTATTATTTTTATATTCCTTTGATGAATTGAGTTGACTAAAAACATACAATTAATATGTTTTCATTTGTACATTGTTACCAAAACAATTTTACACCCACCATGGTATATTACTGCATTATAGGCTTCTATCTAGATCGATGGTACTGTAGAGGCCAGTCTATAATGGCCTTCGCTGGTATACATCCCTCGTGCTAAAATGTAGGCTTGGAAATAAGTTAGCGCATACCATGTATCCTATACCACCTTCTACAGTACCTTTTTTTTTAGATTTCTTAAGCCTTTGCTGTTGTGTCCCTCGGTGTGTATCTTTCTTCACAATCTAAGAAGTACTGTACTGTACTAATTATATGTAACCTGGTGTGTCCGTCCACAGAGGGCGTGTCTATCATTAAATATTCACTGGTTCAACAATGTTTCTACTCACTTTTTGAAGTTCTGAACTTTTTGTTTTTATAGCCAAGAAACCTCAGCTACTAAGGTTTATGGAATAACATCTCCAATAAGCTTGGCAGGACCAAAACCAGAAGACTTAAAGCTCACCTCAGATTTGGTGGAATCCATGAAACCTCATGGAGTCTTCGAAGATGACACAGAGTTGGCACACAGGTAAGTAGCCTATTATTTACCGTGCATATTGTAAGTGTACAGTTGTACACTTACAATACAGTACCTTGATGTTTGTATCTTTATAATATTATTGGATCCTATATTTTGTGAAGTAGAAACAATTCTCCTCTGATCCTGTGAAAATGGGTGTTAGCAGCTTTGTGTGTGTGTGTCCACAAGCTAATTAACTGTAAACTGGGTACACATTTGTACAAGTTTAGGTAGTGCTGGGCATGCCATTAGCCAGCTTCCTAAAAATATTTGGCTTTTTTTTTTTTTTTTTGGCTCTTATTATTATTATTTTTTTTTTTTGCTTGTAACATGCATCCTTACCTCTTAAAGGCAAGCTGTGAGTTATGATCTAGAGGGCTTTGCCAGATGGAGACATACATTTTCTGAAATGTTTATTATCATCTTTAACTATCATCCATGCTGTAATTTACCAGAAAACGTTTATTTTTTTTTATCTATACATTATGTTTTTTAGGTTGTTTTTTTCATTGTTAATAAGTGCCTGAGCATGAGAGAGTATATACAAATTTTATGAATAAAGGAATTTAATAAATAAGTAACATAATACCAATAAAATATTAAAATATTAAATTGAACTACTTATCTCTACGTACTTTGCTCTGTGAGAGCTCCGGTTTTAATTATTGCTTTGTATCCTTATATTTACTAGGGTGGAGGTACTTCTGACGTTGGACACGATGGTTAAGCAATGGATTAAAGACATAAGTCTGAAGAAGAATATGCCCCCTAGTGTAGCAGAGCATGTTGGAGGCAAGATCTACACATTTGGATCTTACAGGCTTGGAGTGCATACTAAAGGTAAATTGTTATTTTTGTTTTGATATTTTATGGATGTTGTCTTATAAGCATCTAATAATACCAGCTTCAGAATCATAATACAGCATTGTCTTCTAGAGTATTTATTACTGTATTTCTGTAGTTCTACAGGTTGCCAGATAGTCGACAGGCTTCACTCTAAACACAGCCACCTTACAGCCAAATTTTTTACAATTTTGACCAAAATTCAGGCAAATTTTATTTGGATTAGCAGATAATTGATTTAAAACAACAAATGTTAAGTACCGTATGTGCAATGTTCAATCTGCTTTTAAACCACTATATACAGGTATTGTGCAATCTTGCTTGTAAGACTAAAATATGTACTTGTACACTAGTACAGTACTGGAGAATAAGCTTTTGCTTGTTGTTAGTAACTCTCAGGCAATTAACTGACTTTTCACAAATTTAGCCACATTCGATCAAATGTAATTATTCCAAGACTTTCACATTCTGCCAAGCAAATAATTTATTATATGGCCAGATTTAAGGAACAGCCTGGTACAGTAGTTCAAATAATTACCGTACAAATAAATTTAAGGAATAACTACCCCGTATATGTACAGATAGTTTAGTGTTAACAGTTTATTAATGCTGTTTAGTAGAAATAATGTAGCTATCTCGATGCTGTGGTTAAAAGATAGTTAGTCTGTTTGAATTAAGGAGTAATCATCAGTACCGTGGTCTGAGCATTGAGGTATTATTGAGAGGAGATCACTCAGCAACAGATCTCTTTGATGCGACAAACCAATATTTTCCCCGCTTTTGGATCGTGCACGGGCGCACTACCTCATTATTAAAATTTGGCAACGACATGCTTTCATACGCTTCAACACAGCAGTTGTGCAATAAACCGTTTGATTTAAAAATTAAATTCATTAAATATCTTTAAAATTAACAATGTTCCCCTGATTGGATTTTTTTCGCACTTTTTAGTATGTTATTTGTGTATTTTACGAACAAATTTCGCATAATATTTTTGTTACAATTACTTCTGTATTCATTATGATTTTGTCTAAAGATCGATTGGTTCGTCTATAAAGCTAAGTCAGCGTAAAACTGAAAATTGCTCTGACTCTGGATTGTATGTACAGTATGTCTTCATGATCACATTTTGGTGTGACCCAGTATATCTACTGTATCATTGATATTTTGTATTTTCCTCTTATGAAGATTTTTTTTGTAAAGAAAATTATACACTTAAAATGTTTAGTTACACATAATAAATTGCAACCTGCGTTTTCTTTGGCTTCACTTTCTTTGGCTTCACTTGCTTGAACAGGCCATTTAAACCCCTTTACTGCATACATACATACTTACTGCATATATTGTCTGGTGCCACCATTGGTGGTTGTTGTGGCACTTAGCTATCATCTCAATTGTGAAATGTAAGAGTAAATCCAGTTGGAGGAATGATGGGAATGTTAAGCTAAAGATAGAAACAGACAAAAAAAAAAAAAAAAAAAAAAAATGGTGTGCCCATGCCTATGATACAGTAAAAGGAATTGAGGAATTAAAAATTCAACAATCTCTTAATTGTACTGTTACTCAAGTGAATTGCCAACACAGAAAGTGTAGGTGAGTTAAAAGTAGCCACAAAAACATGTGTCAAGCTGTAGAGACTTTTTTTTTACAGGTTGTTGTGGTTTAAACTGTTGTGAATATAGTATAATTATATGATATGTTTTTTTCAGGAGGTGATATTGATGCCCTGTGTGTTTCACCACGTCATATAGATAGAGAAGATTTCTTCAATTCTTTCCTTGAAATCATCAAAAACCGACCAGAAGCTAAAGATATAAGGGTTTGTCCACATTTTTGTTTAATAATGGAATATAGTTCATTATACTACAGTAGTAGCCCAAGACTGAGCATGCATTTAAAGTCAACAAAAAAGTCTTAGGAAAAATTATTTTTATGGTATGTAAAATCTTATTTGATGTTGACAGTACAACTTGGATTTAGTGTGAAGCACCCAAAACATCGAATGGAGTTTTACATTAATGAGTAGCAAAACAGCAATCGTTTTACCCTATTAACTGCAATGTTATTTGCATGGATTCACAATATTTATGAATAGAATAACAACACTTGTTTTGGCCATTATTTGATCATGTTTTCATTTGGAAGTCACTTCAAATGAATACTTCACAGTGATAGGCCTACCCTTACCACACTGAGATACTATGAAAATTCAAACTCTCTAAATTACGAATTTTCTCAATTACAAACTGTTCGGACGAGGGGTACGTAATTGGGAGATGTTACTGTAATGCTTTTTAAACAATTATAACTTCAATATTTCTGGGAGTTTTATGCATTAATTCTTTAGTTTTTTTATTAGGTATTATCATTTAAACTATACAATCAGAAGACCTCACTGAAATGTAATTATTTATTTACTGCTTTAGTTTATGTTGTGTTTTTATAAATATTTCTATTGAGTCTAAAATATTATTTTCTTTTAGGCTGTTGAAGAAGCATTTGTGCCAGTAATCAAATTAATATTTGATGGAATAGAGGTACAGTATGAAACTGTGATTTTTTTTTATTTTGCTAAAATAATAATTATTATAATATCACATAATTTATGTGTTTGTTTACCTTTCCACCATTTTGTCTTTAGATGGATATCTTGTTCGCCAGGCTTGCTCTTCCAGTAATCCCAGATGATCTGGACTTAACTGATGATACTCTTCTCAAGAATCTTGATCAAAGATGTGTTCGAAGTCTCAACGGTAGGCTTCAACCCTTTTCCCTACCCCCGCCCAAAAAAAAAAAAAAAAAAGATTATATTACCCTCTGCCATGCTTTGAATTTAGATTTTGCCTCAGAGTATTAACTCTGGAAATATGGATATGTATGGATAATGCTGGTTTCTATAATTTGGCCTAGTTCAGCAACAGTCGTTTCAAAGAAGACTGAATTAATAGTATACCAATTCATGAACATTAAACTTGTTCTGATGTGAATCCCTAAAAGTAAATGTGTAATTTTTGACATTTTGTAGAAGTAAACTTTTCAAGACATTAAAAGGGTGTTTGAAGAAATGATCGAGAATACCTAATAAAATACAGACCTTTAATATTGAAAAGTAGAGAAATTGAGTATTAATACCACTTTTTCGCCTAGTTTCTTATTATTCAAAAATGTGTATCTTATTAACCCAATGTCTTAGGCTTAAAATATTCAATTTCTACAACATATTTTTTGCATTCTGAAGCCTAATTTTAAGTTATCAATGCAGGAACGAACGTGGTCAATGCCTAAATTACAGGTAGAAATGTAAATCTCTAAAAAAAAATCTCTTAAAAAATATTTTCATTGCATGAGCAACTTAAATGCAAACCATTTTTCTTTTTTGTTTTTTCTAGGTTCTCGTGTGACTGATGAAATTTTGAATTTGGTACCTAACAAGGAAAGTTTCAAAATAGCTCTAAGAGCCATCAAACTCTGGGCGAAACGTAAGTAGAGTAGTAATTTATTAAAATTTGGGTTATTTAATAGATCACTAATATTTTCAATTGTTATTATTATTTTTAATTTTTTTTATTGTTGTTTACATGTAATTCAGTTTTTAACTGCAGTGCTATTATATTTTTTTTCTAAATTGTTGAAACAAAATATACCATATAATAATATATAATAAATCATAGCGTTTAAAAACATTTATAGTATTAAATGAAATGATATTTTTGTTATTATTTTAACTTGTGTAAATTGTTTGTGTTTTTTGACAGGTCATGGTGTGTATTCAAATGCTCTTGGGTTTTTAGGAGGTGTATCATGGGCCATGTTGGTAGCCAGGACCTGCCAGCTGTACCCTAATGCAGCTGCAGCAACTATTGTACATAAATTCTTCCTTGTCTTCACAAAATGGTAAACAAACTATACATTGTTTTTAATGTTTGTTATTCATTGATTCAACATTTTCCTACAATACCATACAATGATGATTAACTGAAAATATGAAGTTTTCCTGAAATGACATAATAGCTATTTTGTAATTTTTTAGTCATTTAAAAAATGTTAATGTAGTTTAACTATTTTTTTTATTCCCTTACGCTATTGCAGCATTTGGTGCTATTTTGCATTTTGGTCTTGAGGTCAGGGTTCAAACCGTTCTGTTAATTTTGCTTATGTCCTTGGGCAAGACACTTTACTTCTGTTTGTCTCTCTCAACACATGAGGACAAAGCGTACTTGCTAAGGAGCTGGGAAGGTTGGCCTTTGTGCCTGTTGCCACTCCATGAATCCAATTATTAGGGGTAATAACGCAACATCAGAACATTAATATTAAACAACCATTGCCAACTTGGTTAACTTGGCTCAGTATGTGTAGTATTGAAATGTATTGCTGGCTAGCACATGTTGCCCTTTAAAGCCCCAAACCATTGCATATTGCATACTTGAAGCATGGGAAGAAAATTTTTGATAGATTTTATCTATGTCCAGTGTTATAGGTATGGTGGTTGGCACTGGATGGTGGTATCCACCACTGCAAAATTCCACCAGCATTTAGGCCAGCACAAAATTGAAAGAGAGAACATTTGAGAAATTAAGAAATCCAAAAAATGCTACTATATATGTTTAATTAATATTTTGTTAAAAGATAAAATAATTTCCCTTTATAAAAAAAAAAAAATTTAAAAAAAATTATTCACAATTTTGTATTGTTTTGTTTAGGAAATGGCCTCAACCAGTGTTTTTGAAACAACCCCTCCAGGAAAATGAACTCAACTTCCAAGTGTGGGATCCTAGGGTAAGTGCAGAAAATATGTACTTAAAACCCTTTCGTTTTCACAGCCCTAATGTTAAGTTAATGTTTAAATAAATAGAAATTAAAATAAGCCAATTCTTACTTTGAACTGCACGTGTCTGTATCAAGTCAATCGACATAAAGAAACATACACGCAAAATAGGTTTATGTCGATTGACATTGATTGACCATGGATGTTCAGACCTTGGATTGGCTTATTGAAAAAAAGGCAATTGGGCAGGTATTGTTCACCTTTTATCAAGGGCTTAGTCAGCGAGCCGTATGGCCGTCATTTGGACGGCCACTTTACCATGACGGCTTGGACGGCTTGGCCTACTCAGCTCGGCCTAGCCTAGTTGGGTCTATTCTACTCCATATTTTGGACAGCCTATTTCGTTTTTCTGGCTAAACCCCTGCCTCTTATTTACTTGATACAAGAGCTGTGGATAATCACCAAAAAGGACATTTGCCTGTGCCGAATACTAGGTATTATAACATTTACCATACTCAATTTAATGGGATATAAAATGTATTATTAGGAGGATACAAGGTAGGTGATTTGATGGATAAGTAAATAGGAAGATATGCTGTACATGCAATGAGTATGGTATGAAATTTACTCTTCATGAGATAATAATCAAAAATAAAAGATGCTTTACTTCCTTAAGGTCCTGATTTGAAGGACATTAAAATCAGCTCTATCTATCTGTAATCATTTATACCGTGCTATTTCCAACTATACCGTGCTATTTCCAACAGATTCATAGTGCCGAGTGTCAAATTCAATGTAAAAACAAAAGTACTAAACTAAACAAGTACTGTTCCTGAAACTAAACATAGTTGGCTGGGCTCACTCTAACATATTTTTTTGTTTAGCCAATTGGCTAAAGTCAACAATTTTTTTTTAACCAATTAAAGCTTTCTTTAGTCAAAATTTGACAAAAATTGTTAAATATCATTAGCCAAAACTTGCTGACAGGACATGGTGTCCAACATGTTTGACAGTGGAGTCCGAACCAAGGGGTCGAGGCAACACTACCCTAGGGGTCCTACAGTATTTTTCTCTCCCAAAAATGCCAATCCAAAGTAGTTTTTGCCCATGGCGATTTGGTGATCGGTTAGCGTGAGTCCAGCTTGGCCGTAGATTCCGAGGAGCTCATTTGTTCAGCTGGTAGTTTTCTTGCTGATTAGTGACAATAACCCTCCCCCCACCCACCCAGTGGCCGCTAAAACACCACTCACTAAGCTCATAAAGAGTGTTACATGTATAAAGCATCATTCTATCCTGTAAGTATCGAGTGTACCTACTGAAAGGAAAAAAATTCTTGTCTACTCTTTACAGTTGTTTTGTTTTCTTTAGTAATTGAACATTACAAGTTTGTAAATTTACATTTTCTTGGACTGTGAGTGCTCATTCTTTTGCATCACTTGTTTGTACTTTATCTGTGTATGATTTATGTAAACAATTATTTGATGCAATAAAGCGAATAAAGGAATTTGAGTGTTTTTTTGGGGTTTTTTTTTTGTCAACAGATCAATGTGACAGATCGTTTTCATTTGATGCCGATCATAACCCCAGCATACCCCCAACAGAACTCCACGTACAATGTGACCCAATCCACCAAGACAGTCATGGAACAAGAACTTAAGAAGAGTAAGTCTGAACTGTGTGTGCCATGTCATGTTTTAGAGATAGAAAGAATTGTTTTATTGATACACTTAAAGATGCATCTAATATGAATTTTTATAACACACCTAAATAAATCCCAGTCATTTGATTGGTTGATTTCATACCATGTTTTGTTTCATTTCATACAATCTTTTGTATTTTTTCTGACTTTTCTGGAAGGTTAAATCATGAAATAATGTCACATAACCTATAACTATAAGCCTACTTCTTGCTGTACTTGTCTTAGCGGTGTGCAATATATCAGAAATATTGTTTATACAGGGAGTTGTTATAATTTACTGTAAAGTATTTTAATAGCGTAGATGATACCTTAAAAACTTGCTCAAGTTTGCACAAAATCTATGCGGAATTTGGCCCTTATTTTCCGAAATGCCCAGATGGATTTCTAGCCTAGGCTATAGGCCTAGTCTAGGGCCAAAATTTTGCGCAGAGGATAGGCCCAGGCTAGGCCAGACTAGGCCGAACCGATTCAAGCTTTTATAGTGGGACACTTGCTTGGAAGATGATCAAATGGCAAGGATCTATTTAGGTGTGTTATAAAACAGATAATGAATGTTTTGTATTCGTGCAATGGAAAGAATATTTTCATGATTTGAAAGATAGACTGTTCCATCCAACTCGGCTTCGACTCTTTGAATGAAACAGTCAATCTTTCAACTCATGAAAATATTCTTTCCATTGCACGAATAAATATTCATTATTTGTATAATATTTCCTCTTTTAAGCTCTGTCCACACTATGAAATTGTATGTGACAACTGTGTGAAGTGCACATATATGGGCATGATGATGTCATATTACATCCATATATGGGCATGATGATGTCATATTACATCCATATATGGGCATGATGATGGCATATTACATCCATATATGGGCATGATGATGTCATATTTCATCCATATATGGGCATGATGATGTTATATTACATCCATATATGGGCATATCACATTTATTTGTAACCAAAATTTTCATAGTCTGGATAGATGAAAGTTGACATGGAATTGTTTTTATAGCTACTGTTTTTGAATCTGTAATCAGTATGGCATTTGTGCACACAGTACATATACTAATACCGTACTCGCGCGAATAAGCGCCACGTTTGAATAAGCGCCCCTCTCGAATTACCGCCCCTCCAAACGTGAAAATTTCCTTAAGCGCCCCGTTTGAATAAGCGCCCCCTTCTAATTTGAATAAGCGCCCCTCATAAGATTTTCTTTTTAGCAAGTCAATAATCCAATCAATACTGGGACTGTGGTTGTTGGTATGATTTGAGCTGTAGAGTGGAAACACATTCTTCTTCAGTCAATATCAAAATGAGGATATTTCTCTTGCAAATTCCCATCTAGTTTTCAAGAAAAAATACAATGATCCTGCCATCCTGCTAATCTCAATTGTCCGATGGCCAACAAGCTAACCACTAGCATCTGCTATTTTGCTGTTATGTAAATATTCACGATTATATTTTCTAACCACCATGCGTGATGTCCTTATATAATCTTTTTTCATTCAAAAAGTGTCTTTTGAATTTAAAAATTTTCCATAAGAACTCCTCGATTTTCATCTATTTCCATAAGCTCCCCCTCAATTTCCATTCTGTTTTCATAAGTGCCCCGTTTAAATAAGCGCCCCGTTTGAATAAGTGCCCTCAGAAAGTGCAAAAAATATTTTAAGAATTGTGGTATTATAATGTTATTGATAAGATTTTGTGTTCTGTGCTCTTATTATTTTCTTATTGATGTCATTCTGTCAATTTAAAAGCTGTAAATTGAAATGATTTTATCAACTCAATGTGTAATATTAATAATGTTATAAGGTTATTATTTTGTTTATAGATATTTTTAACATTTGTTCCATATAATGGTCATTTTGTACCTGAATAAATAGTGGAAGACTGTGTACAAGTTATAACTTAAAAAATAACTATAAAAAAAATAGCTACATGATTGATTACAGTTAATACTTTTTCTTTGTGGAAAGTTATATTTTTAGATAAATATGTTTGTGATAATTATTGCAATTCCATTATTCCAGGTTTGGAGGTAACAGAGGAAATCGTTAAAGGAAAGTTGCCCTGGGATAAATTGTTTGAGCCTACTAACTTTTTCCATCAGTACAAGTAAGTATTTTTATTTATTTCATTTTTCATTTTTGTTAATAAAATTAAGTGAAAAATGGTGTAGATGCTTGATTTAACACATCTGTGTAACTCTTCTCAGTATTAATACTGGTATTTGTTTTGTTTTGCAGACATTACATTGTATTGAGTGCAAGTGCAGGCTCAGAAAAAGATCATTTAAAATGGTAAGAAAATCAGCCATTTATTTGTTTATACTCCCCTCTAATAATCTTTTTTTTTGTTCTCAATGTAATAAACACTGGGAATATGGGCTGGGTCCCTTGCGGACCCACAGCAAGCGCAGTGCAGCGCCACTTCATTTAAACTAAACATACAAAGGATACACAGGTCCTTAAATTGCTTAACTCTCCTGAAAGGGTTATTCGAGGAGCTGAACGTTTATAAAAGACCCGAATTCAATACTCGGCTGCAGAACCAGGTCTCGAACCTTGGCCCTGACGTGCAAGAGGCAAGAACCATACCAATCAGCCAAACGCTCAGCCCAATTTTAGTGGGAATTCTACCAGAAATACGAAATTTGCTGGGTAGGAGGAAGGAGAGAGTGGTATATAACACAACCTCCCCATTTGCAGTTAAAATTCACATTTTAAACATTGAACTCATTACAACCTCTATATTTGCTAACACTTGTTATAGAGTAGTCAATTATAACCAAGGGATATGATACGATTGAAATCACTACAACAAGAAATATAATTGCTTTTTTTATTTTAGGGTTGGACTTGTTGAATCAAAAATTAGGATACTGATTGGTAATCTTGAGAGGAATCCTGTTATCAAACTAGCCCATGTTAATCCGAAGTCATACGCCCCACAAAACACGGAAGAGAAGTAAGGTTTTTTCTTATTTATTTTGTATATTTTGAGTATATATGAGTTGAAAAACCCTCAAAAGTCAAAAATTGAATAGTTTATTTAAGTGGATCAAATATGGATTCAACACTAAGCGCAAGCTCAGTGGTCTAGCGGTTAAGACACCAGGCTAATTATCTTGAGGTCGTGGGTTCAATACCCACCCAAATCACTTGCAAGGCCAATTTTAATTGAAAGACTGTATACATCTGTTAGTGTTTTAATTAAAATTTGCAGTCTTTCTAGATTTCACCACATAAGATATTCTTAAATTAAACTTGGAGCCCTGATCAGTATGTTCTCCACATGGACCATTTTGTTAATTTATCAAGCTACATCTAACATTGTTTAAAGTAATTTTGTATAAACAGTTGTGACCTTGCATTTTTTGCATCCATCCATCCATCTATTTAAATATTAGTAAACATACCCAATTAACCATACACCGTTCTGCTAAGCACAACCTCTTTGATATTGCTGCTTAGGTCCTACAAAACGACTGTAAAAACATACGCAAGCACTGCACGCAAGTGTTTTTGGGAAACGTGTGTTTGTGAGACATGCATATTCCTGGCCATGTTCTGATTGTCAGTAGTTAAGTTAACACTCCTGAAATGTCCATTGTGTCACTCTCATGTAGAGTATATCCAGAACTCCAGTCATTTCACATTCAATCCAGACATGTGTTTTGATTAAACCAGTGTAAATAAGTTCAAACAATGTAGTTTATGTTTTAAGGCTATTTTGAAACTGATGTATAATGTGTAATCATTTCCTAACTATTATTTTTTGTCTTTTTTTTCTTAGAACTGACCAGTTTGTGTCCATGTGGTTTATTGGGCTAGAATTTGCTCAGATTGACCCAAGCACTAATGTCAATCTAACGTTTGACATCCAGAATTTTGTAGATACAGTGCATCGACAAGCTCTCAACATTAAACTGTTTGAAGAGGGAATGAAAATTGAAGCAAAGCATGTTAGGAGGTGAATATCGTATTTCATTCAATTTTAATCACACAGTAACTCTTTGCAGAGTATATCAACATACAAGTCTTTTGGTACTTTCATTTGAAACTCAGATGCCTAAACATACTTAAGAAAAAAGTTTGCTCTTAAGATAAACAACTGATGATAAGTTTCCTATCACAATAACTCATGTAAAATGGGGCATGTTACGGCAAAATGGCTAAGTTGTAGCAAAAATCGAAATTCAAATTATTGGTATTTTCAGATACATAAGCAGGGGTCCCAAGTCTCTCGGAACTCGCGGGAGTCTCCCGGACAACCTTCCACACTCCTGCAAACAAGCAAAAATCTCCCAGAAATAACCCATCTCCCACAAATTCACTAATATTTGCATGTTTTAAATAGTTTATTATCAATCGTTTCATGGAAGTCAGCGCTGATGGGTATCGCTGTATGCAGTCATATATAAAATTAAATTTGTTAAAGTCATAACCACTGCAGATCAGTAGAGGATTCAAAGGGAGGTCCTAATTTTTTCCAAGTTATAAAAAAATGGGGAGAAAGAAAATTTATATGCTAAAATTTATGTCAGAGAGTGGCAAAGGTGGGGCTGACCCTCCCTTCCCCACCCCTATTTTGATTTCTTGAATCAGTGCCACTGTTAACTAGATCTCTCCCGGAAATTACTTCTTCCAACTTGGGACCCCTGCCTAAGTATGTGATCTTTAAAATGATGGGTCATTCATTGAAATTGGACATTTCAAGCCTAAATTATTGGAAAAGAAAAGTTTAGCACTCTTAGAGTCAAGATAAACATGATTTGTGCATACATTGTTTAATAGAATTAACTATCAACTTAACTTTAAATAAATGATTTGTTAACCACTTGCAGAACTAATACTTTGGGTCATGATTAATAAGACATTGAACGGTTGATTTCTAGTGAAAAAAAAAATTGGAATTTTTAGGAAATTTTTTGAGCTCCCATATTTTATAGATCATTTACTCAATACTGGCCTATGTGACAACTTAACCATATCGCCATGACATGCCTCAAATAATATAAAAATGTACATTTTTTAAAATACAAATATTTTGCTTTATAACTTTTAGTGTAATAATTGTAATTCTATTGTAATATAATTGTCGATACAATTTTATTGCATTGCAGAAAGCAATTAAGCCAGTATTTACCTCCAGAACTGGTGAAGAGCAAAAAGAAAATTTCCCATGGGAATGAAAACCTTAAACCATCATTTATACTGGAACAGACTGGAACAATCCAAGCTGTTCCCAAAATTCCAGAAGCAGCTAAGAAACCTGCTAACATGTCGGAGGAGGAGTTTTTGTATGGCAAAGAGCTTGAAGTGAATGCCGACTCAAATGCCTCTACGAGTGTTTCTACTCCTGAATTTGAAAATTCAGAAATAGGTGTTGTTTCAAGTAGTTCTTCTCTTGAAGCTGAGGTTGAAAGCAAGGATCCAAGCCTTGAAATTCCAAATCATGACCAAAATGAGGTAACTACAATTTATTTTTAGTGTATTCGAAAAAGGCATAATAATGATAAAGGTAGCATGACTTTCTGTTGAATATTGCTGAATAAAATCTTATTGTCTTGATGTGTAAAATGAAATTATGTGATTAATTACTTTTAAATGATTTTCACAGCTTTTTTATTTCAAATTTTTACCATTTCAACTGTTTTTAAGTGTATATATTCCGAGCAAAGAATTTCCTTTTAAAGGATGAAATAAAGCGAGCAAAGAGTCATATAAGTCAACCCATCATCTCTGACTGATACAGTGTCTGCTTTTGATAAAATATCAAACAAATAAATTTTGATACAGACGAGATTGATAATAAAGGAACAATTTATGAACGAGTTAAAGAACCAGTGTCTGCAAATTTCCCCAAAAATGACATTTTTTTGGAAAATATGCATACACATTACTTTAATTTTCATAAACCAGTCATTTTTTCGTCATAAATACATGTTTTACGATTAATGATAAAAAAAGGGAGAAATAATGCGCCTGCGAAGCGACTGTCTCAGCTATGCTGTGCTTCGACGATAGGCCTAGCTTAGATCGAATCTGCTGTGCTTCGACGATAGGCCTAGCTTAGATCGGATCCGCTGTGCTTCGACGATAGGCCAGGCTTAGATCAGATCCGTTTAAAAGCTACTGACATGTAAACAAACATAGTGCAGCTGGCTGGCCGGGTAATCGCTCCATACCTTCAGAGTATAATATCAAGTTCTGGACAATAATTTCAATGTTGTAAGTATTGATTATGCTCTTCTATAATTGTAAATACATTTATGTGGTATTTGTGGTATACTAGCCTCGATGATAACGAGTCTTTTTTTGATGCAAGTATATCCTGTGTGTGTGTGTGTGACAAAGGCATAGTAGGGCTAGGCCTCAGCTTACACTACTACAGTACGTACCTTTGCTGGGCGAGCTCGGCCAAGGTTGTTTAGGAATTTTTGTGTGGGTTGTGGCCTGCCAACACTCGTGCTTATAGATTTTACCAAGTTTAAAATGTACTGCTATTTTGGCAGATGGATGGACAAACATAAAAACAAAAAAAAACAAGAAAATAGTATACCAATCATGTAGGTAGGCCCATCTTCAGGTGTTGTGGATTTAGTAAACACATGTGTGTCTGTCTCTTATACACATCTAGATGTGTATAAGAGACAGATAGTATACCAATCATGTAGGTAGGCCCATCTTCAGGTGTTGTGGATTTAGTAAACACATGTGTGTATGCATGGGGTATAAACAAATTCTGTAAATACATGGCACTGTACATTATGCATATGCAATGTAGGCAAAGATTATTGATGTTGGAAATTCTTTTTACTGTCAATATCCCATCTTTAAACTAATTAACTATATTTACAATGTGTGTACTGTAATATATGCTTTATGGAGTAATAATTCAGAATAAGAGACAAGATTCAGTATATATTTTCAGTTCATATTTTATAATATTGTATAAACTTTTAATATGATAAACATACAGTTCAGTACATAGTAGTTACAAGAATATTGATACTTTTTAATTTCAGACAATGGCAGTCTACTGTACGTTTTTTGATGAGATGCAGCTGTCATTGTCCAGAACCATGAAGCAGGATTTTCGACAGCTTGCAGAATTGGAACCAGAAGAGCTGAATAATCAAACCGCCATCACAGCTACTGTCCATTTACTTATTAGAGGCACCAGTATCTGATTAGGGGGATAGATGGATTATTCCCTCATTTTGCGTTTAGAGGATTCGGGATGAATTTCCGTCTCCAACAGGTACATATTAAGGGTTTCATCTTAATGTATAATAAAGCTATATAGTGTAACATTGATATTATTTAATAATCAAGTATTGTGCGTGCACATATCGTGAAATCTACTTCTTCTAGTCATGTATCAGTTGTGCGCATTTGTACTTGCCATAGCTAACTTAAAGTGAAGTGCATATTATATAATATTGTTAATAACCAGTAGTAATAGTTTTACAGTGATTACGTCTTGACTGTTTTTACAACAGTTTTATAACAGTTTAGTTCAGGTTTTGTTCAGAGCTGGACACGATTGCCAGTTCGTCTGTTGCTACTGAATAAATCATCAACCAATCAGTTATATTTTGTTTACATTACTTTGTTGATGTCCTTTTGTATTATACATTCTTTGTTGACGGAGGTGCCCTAGTGTGTGTTGTATAGGCCTTGCCTACTTTACATTGACATTTCATCCTTGAACATTGCACTTCTGAATCTGGAGCAGCATTATCTACCGTATTTCTGATATCTGGACAAACCTGATGTTACACTATACAAATCAAGGCTAATGTAGCAGCTGGAAGCTGATTACATACAGTATTCAGCCTCATTGTTATTTTACCAGTCAGAACCATTTTTACATTCATCATTATAATCCACTGTTACAAGAGTACCTTTTTGTTTAGCAAATTATTTACCTCTTCTTTAGACAAGCAAAACTCCGGGACCGATATTGTAACACTATTTTTCAAAATCGGAATTTATTTCCCCATAAACATATGTAGCACATGCCGACTATACAGTATAAACAAAAACAAGTCATTTTAGGCCTTGTTTACAGTCATTGTTCTGAAAATCTGGACTCAAAATTACCAAATCCTCCATAGGTGGTGGGTGTACCTTTGCAATGGTTTGTTGAATTCATCAGAGATCATTTGCTTTCATTTCATTTTTCCTGTAGATGATATTGCTATCAATAATAATCATAACCTTTATTTCTCTAATCAACATTTGGCTACTAACACCTTCTCTGCAGACCAGTTATCCAAGGTTTTGTTGAAGCGCTTGTACTACCTGATGAAGAAAAACAATTCATATTCATGACTTATTGCATGTAATAAAGAACTTTGGTAAACTAATGTTTAATTTATCCACCATTATATTTTGTATATCTTTTGTCAATTAGGTGGGAGGTATTGATCTGGAAAAAAAAAAACATAGAACTATAAATTTCTGTTGATATTTGATTAACAAGGGAAAATTATACGGGGTAGTACTCGACCATAAATCAATGATGCTTACATTGGGTTGTCCTCTGCATTACATTGCTGGGCTCTTCCTTAGTACATCTGCAAGTCCAAGGCTGCAAGACGATTTTGTGCTTGGAAAGGTGTATAGCTAATAAAAACAAATGATCAATCCAATTTATTCTAAATAATGGTTTGTAAATGAATGAAAAGATATCAGTGAAATATGCACAGTGAGATTTCACTGTTCCCTGATTATCTGATCTACTGTATGCACTGTTGATCAATAGTTACATTTCATAAAATTTTCATACAATTTTTTGTTTTACCACAGATTGTTGTGGAACATAACATGAAATAATTCTGATACAGTATTACACTCGCTGAAAACTTTGTCATTTACATCATAAACATTATCACAATATGGTAGCACTCAAAAATACCAGTATATCTGAAAAAGTTGTATGCATTACAGTTAAATAGGTGTTACTAGATACAGCATCAATATTTTTCTTCTAAGCCTACACTAAACTTTTAATTTGTTGTATATATACAGAACAAGTCATCTATGAATTATGTTTAGATTTCTTTTATACCTGAAATTTATGTATCTGGGAATGTTCTTGAAGAAATTAGAACTGAGTAATATCCGGTCACATGCTTTTTGCTGCTCGTAAACGGCTGGTAAAGGCCTGTCTGGATTTGCATCTTCGTTGTCTATGATTAATCTTGCTTTCATCAGAGCCACGCTGTCTTACTATATATTAAAAGGCAAAATACTGAAAAACAATAATGCTGTGAGAAGCAATGGCTGGATCTCAGTAGAGATACATGTTTGATAAGCAACAGCTAAACATGCAATTGCAACTAAACACCAGAAATAAAAATGTACACACAGTTTTACTTGACGGTCACATTTTATATTATGACAGCAATTAAGCAAAACATATGTAATTACGTTAAAATAAGGCCTGCTTTGATATAGGCTAAGTCCTATCCACCGTGCAGAAATTAGACTAGGGGGTTTGCCTTGGCCTAGAGATCTGTATGCACATATTTTAGAAAATGAAAAAGGGTCGATTTCCATACAAGTGTTTTAGTCCTTTTTCGAATCTTATCCTAGTCTTGTTAATGCTTAACCTACGGAAGGTTAGGCCTAAGCTTATAATGTATGACATAGATATGCGCTTGGTTCGCTTATCAATCATCCCAGCTAAGTCCCTTTTTATATAGGCCTAGGGGCTATCCCGCCCTACTGACTAAGCTAGGCCAGAATGAGAAGACCTACCAGAAATCCATAACTATCAGCCAGCATGGATTCGCCGCCTTTTCTTTCTTTCTGGTGGTAGTGGTATGCCTTCGGATACCATCAGTTATCTCGTCGTTGACTTTTTCTTCTTTTCCTAACAGAATCTGTAAAGAGTCATTCGAGGACGACCTCGCTTCAAGCTAGCTTTCGCTTTGCTACATCTTGCAACCGATACGGCTAGGCATAGGCCTATATCCCATGTATTTAAAACGTTGCATGTAAAGCATGGGGGATTTCCGGATTTCCTCATACAAATAGAGGCACATAACCAGAATTCAACAGAAATTATCAATCCGCGGTGATGCATGATGGGATTTATAGCGGGATTTGTCCCTTTTTACCTGTTTATAGGCTAATACACTGTATTGCAGTACCAAGTATATATTTTGTGTATAGTAAATTACCCAACAATGGTAGAATATGAAAAATTAACTCATTGAAAATTTGCAGACACTGGGTCTTTAAGATCGTCTGCTTATAGAATTTTACTTTTAATATGAAATGTAGACCCACTAAATGAAACTCTTTCAATAATTAAAGGCTCTTACTTTTTTTTCCAGAAAAATGGAACAGAAGTGTCCACATCAAATGTTAATGTAGACGACCAACCAATGGCCAGTAACAAATCTGTAAGTAACCGCTATCTGCAACATTTTTTTTTTTATAATTGCAGCATATTCGGAGAGGCTGTCTGGCAAGATCTTAGACATGTTCTTTAGAAGTCACAATAAGTGGGTTGCATATTAATGTTAATATATGATCGATTACTTACATTTGTGTCAATTGTCATTTCGATTTTTTTTTTTTACTTGGCCTTAAAAATAAATCATCTGTGGATGTGGTTTGGCACAGTGGGAAGGGTTTGGTTTCCCAACCTTGAGGTCGGGGTTTTAATCTACTCGCTGTGCATTCCAATTGTGTCCTTGGGCAAGGCACTGTATCTGCATTGCTTCTCTCCACCCAGGAGTATAAATGGGTAGCTGGTAGGGTTTAATGCCAAAATGCAAAATTATGGAATATTCCATGTTCCATAGGCGTTTAATCTAATGAGCGGGGGTAATAATGCGAAGCGCTTAAGCACTATATAAGTCTAACTTATTATTATTATATTATGTAGCAACACAACTTGTGTAATTGCTAGTTTTAATCATAATTCCAATCTCAATGTTTATTGATTATATATGTTGGTCAAATTTTATCAGTTTTTTTGGTGTAATCGTACAGACGATGCTAACTGGTAGTTAGCGAAACTGTTTACACCAAGAAAAGTAAGCATACTGTTTTTACTTTAAGGGAATTATACAAAAGTCCATATCTGATTTTGATGTGATTTCTTTGTTTTGCATTGTATGTAAAACATGTACAAAATTTTGGCATCAGAATATATATAAACGGTATTAAATGCAGATGGACAAATACAAATACTAATAGTATTAGTTGGAATACTATTTATATTATATTTGTAAAGTAAGTGATTGGAACAAGTAGGGTTAACTCATGAATAATGTTTTATATTTACAGTACGATGGTAATTGAGAAAGACCGTTTCACCAAAAAAACTTTGAACATTGCATGGGTGTGACTTTGATTTTGATGAGGTTTGCATTTTATGACACTATTACCAGTGAGGTTTTGTTAATACAGGTTAAAACCTTTAGTATTTGTTTCACTTTTGTAGAATGTATCCAAACGACCCCCATCTGATTCACCTGATTACCTGAGTACATCACCGGCCAAAAAAAGCAAAATAGAGGTAAAGTAAATGTTTGAAACTGGGTAAGTATTTCTAGAATAATTTTGAGCTTCAAATACGTGTTAATCCTGATTAATATTTTACATTTACAGTATGGTTGTAATTCAGAATGAGAATTTACGGTTACTATAGTAGAACAGAAATCTTGAACCTTAATAGGTCTTGTTTTGTTTTTGTTTAGGGCTACATTTTATGAATAAGTACTCCTGTGTTTCGGTTTCAGTTAATATACTGTATACGCTCAGAAACAGGCTAAACTCTTTATTATTTGATTTACTTTTTGTAGGAAGCATCAAAGCGACCCACATCTGATTCATCACTTGATTCACTGAGTACATCTCCTGCCAAAAAAAGCAAAATAGAGGTTATTGTTTTTTTTTTGTTTTCTTTGATGAGGTCTACATTTTATGACTAGTAGTGGGTATAATTGTGGGTTTGTGTACCCTCACCTATAATACAGGCTGAAACCTTGGATATTTGATTTTTTTTTTTCCAGCTACCAAAGCGGCCTCCATCTGATTCACTGACTACATCACCTGCTAAAGTGAGCAAACTAGAGGATGATACTGCAGTATCAAGTACACTTAAACCAGGAAACTCACAGGAAAGTACCAGTGATGCATCAAAATTGCAGGTAGGTTGTGTGACAACATCAAAGTTACAAATTTTGAGCAGAGGCAATTCAAATCGGTAAATATCATGGTAGTATATACGGAAGGTCAACAAGGTTACTTAGGTCTCATGATGTGGAAGAAAAACAAGGAGAAAAATCCATAGAAAACAACAAACTATATAGATACTGAGATACAAAGTTTTTTCATTTCATTTCATTTATTTGTCTCAAACAATTAGAATGTACATAAACAGAAACGGCAAAGAACAATCATAAAAGTACAAAAAACAGAGACAGGACACTCCAAAAGTAAAATCAATCACTGTCGATTGGAGGCCTTTTACAAGGAAAACACAATACATACAATATAAAATTCTTCAGAAAGATAAAAAATCGAAAGATAAATATTGAAATATAGAAGAATGAGTAAAAATCAATAAATGAGCAAATTTAATTTAAAAGATATTTGAGATATAAAAATATTCAGATAAGCATTAAAATTTATCTTAAAATATTTAATGTAAAAATGTCAAACAAATCATTTAAAATTGCATTGCACTTATAATATATAAAACAAGATTAATTATAATTATTAAAAAGAATGAGGTTAAAAATTTAAAATTTAAAAGTGCCAATAAGGAGAACAAAAAACAAAACAGAAATGAAGACAAGAACTACACCACTTACCAACAAGCCTAACACCTACCAGAATTTATTCAAAATGATGTAATATGGTATAGCAAACATTATTATTGCATGTCAACCAGTTTATGTATGTTTAAAAGTGTTGCAATTTTATGTCTTGCCTTTATCTGCAGAATGGATTAGAGGATCTTGCCACAGATGTCCAAACCACCTCTGAAGCTGAGAGGGTGACAGTACCAGCCCAACCATCAGATGCTGCCAACAATGGTTGTAAGTCCCCAGAACAAGTGGTAAGGGGAGGAAGTTAAATACTCTTTTTTCTTATATATTTTATCAATATTTTCTACCTTTTTAAAATCTATAAATGGCAGACAATATTATGACAGACAATATAAGAATGGATTTTAAAGCTAATGACATACTTGAATCCAAATAGTTATTAAGCTCATTATGGACAGTATATCTTTAATCTAAAGGCCTACAATGATTTATTATATATACATTTTAAAGTAAAGTTGAATAATAATATCTTTGTGCCACTTCTAATAATAATTTAGTTTATATTAATGCTAATTTGTTATTTCAAATCCAGCCAAAAGAAAAATATATTCATTATACTGTACAATAATATATAACTATTGTTGCCTTCCAGTCTACCTCTCATCCTTCTAGTCCTGATAGACCAAAAGTTGATATTTCGAAGGTAAGATTGTATGCATATTATCATGTTGAGTACAACTGTAGCTTGGTAGTTGCTAGTTTTTCAATTCCGTGGGCTGGGATTTATCAATTTCAGCTTAGAAAACTGCTTTAATTCAACAAAGGTACAGTGGGCCTAAAACAAACTACTTAAGCTCATTTATCAAACCATCTTAAGCCATGTCTTGGACAATTTCAAATGTAATCATGAATAAAAACAATTTTTTTGGTTAACCATTTTTTTTTTTACTTGCATAAAGGAATTTACTTCTACATGAGCAAAAGCTGTCATGATTTACACACACGCACTGAGAAACCAACATATATTTACTTTTATATACCCCATACATAGAGCCCAGGCATCTGATTGGTTAAAAAGTGGGTAATAACTTCAACCATCACGTAGGTTGAATGATAGTTCATAAATTCCCTAAGAAAAAAAATACACAGTGAATGATAGTACTTTTTTTTCCTTATCGCGAAGTAATCTTGAGGCCCCACATATAAGGTAATTTATGACATGCCAGACGGTAAAGGGGACTGCAACTTCAACTGCAAGAGATTGGCCCTTTCTCCACCTAGGCCTAGGAAGTAGGCCCAGGCCTACTTGTTTGGTAGTCTTTTCATTACTTTTTCTTAGGCCTTGTAGAATCTATGTATCGGGTAGATAAAACAAATATTCACTGCTCGAGATTTGGGAAATATATAAATTTATTTCCCCTGACATGATGTAAAGATGGTTGCCGCTTCCCGATTTGTATATTATTACTGAAAAAAAAGTCAAACTGGGCACACAGTCCATCTGCCATTAGTTGGCTAGTGCGATTCCATTGAGTCTGCATAGCAATGACTACCTACTCAAATTGTCACAATCGGCAGACAGCGTCGCTTTGTCAAGGGCTCTCACAGAGGATTTATGCTCATGTTCGGATAACACAGTCTGTGCCCAGCTTAGGAATACGTCATCGCAGTTATATAATTATCTTACTAGCGAGAAAACATTTCTTTGATCTTTAGTGCATGAAAGAAACATTGATAAAACAATAGAAAATATATGACACTATTTGTCAAAATTTTAGTCCTAATTTTTCTCCACAATGTCTAGTGAAGGTCTATGACAGTTCATTTAGCTTTTCAGTGCAGAGTTTTTTGGCTTATCATGCTCGCAGGTGTCCAGACTGGAATGAGATAAATCTAATCTAACTAAAATTACAAATTTAAGCTGATTTGTTTCCCTAAGCCAATTTGATAAATCCGGCCCATGATCCTAGGTTAAAAGACCAAGAATTGAACAATAAATAAACTAATTTACTTTTTCACACATTGCTGCAAAGTTTACAGAAAATTCATTTAAAGTTCATTCCCTTTTCTTAGTAGGAAGTCACAGAATTGCATATCACCCAATTCAACACACAAGTTTAGAAATAACTTGTTCTAAGGTTATTTTGTTAATGCCTACATAAATCCACATTTATGAAATAAATTTCTATCAGTATAATTTTTGTTTCTTTATTGACTGAACATTGCAGTAATTTTCAAATTGATTTATTATTTATGTTATGTTTTATATATTATGTTTGCCTATATTGAGAAATATAGTGAAATATAACTTATATATAACTGGATTATTTCCACATCTGCTGTCTTGTTTCATTGTTTTTACAGAGGGCACAAAGCAGAGAACTAAGTGATATTATGTCCCCGGTACCTCAATCAATTCCTGTCGTTAAAAACTCTATAAGACTCAACCTCTCCAAATGAAAATGCTAACAAAATTCAAGTCATGTTTCTTGTAAGTAGAAACATGGAAGTGAGCTGTTTTTAATCAGTGATTAACAATAAGGGTTATAAATTTGTAATATTTATTGTACCAGGTGGGAGATCACTTTGGTTTTTGTGGTGGGTTGAGGGCGCACTGACATGGTAGCGCTAAAAAGGAGGTTAAATCGTCATTTAATTTAAAGAGGAACCATTAAATTGACAGATGACAAAATTATTGGTGAATATCTTTTGATGTAAGCTAATACACCATGCGAAGTGCTGTCATATTTTTTAAAGACAAAGATGTTTACTTTGTAAAGCTCTGTCCAGACTATCAACTTTAATTTGACAAAAAACATGTGACATGCCTAAATATGGTCATGATGACATCATATCTTGACCATATATAGTAACATCATGACTATATATAAAACATTTTTTGTTTAAAGAAAATTTGGACAGAGTTTTTCTCGGATGCGAATTTAATTCCACATGTTATGTATCATATTAGCATAGGAGTTTTGCTATATCTAAATAAAGATACTAAATTCGTTTTGGTTCTTGCTTCATGTTGTTTATGTGTTTATGCATTTTCTTTTTGAAACTGGAAGGAAGTGAATAATAAAATCTGATGTTGTTTGTCCTAAGCAGATGCTTGATTGATTTTAAAACAAGTAAAAACATCCAGATATGTAAAATGAATAAATGATTTTAACTCAAACATGTTCTACAAACAATAACACCATGTGTGCTTCAGTCTGTGTCCAGGCAATTCTGTATCAACTCATGGAATTTTGTCTGAATTTTAAATATTTCTGAAACAAACATTGATATTATCATCATTTTCAATTCAAAAATAGAAAATTATATATGTTGGCTTTAAGTTCAATTAAAAATGATTTTTATATAATATATGTATACGATTCAACTGTACAGTTACATGGTATTAATGGGAATTTGTAAAAAAAAAAAAAAAAAAAAACTGAAACTATAGTATGGCACTTAGTACTAGTCCATAGTTCAAACCAACAATATTAATATCAATTATTGTATATTAATCTAAAAGAAATTGCTGCGAGAAAATTTTTAGTCTAGATTTTGAATAGTTTGTCTTGTGTGATTGCAATCAAAAACAAACATTTAAATATTTTAATGTTTTCTGTACAATAAATTTAAATCTCACCTAGATGCATTTATTCTTTGCGAGATCAGAAACATTACATGTACATTTGTGGGAGCGTCTGGCGCAGTGATTGTGACTCAGACTCAAAATGTTGACATAGGGTTTTCAAACCCACGCTGTGCATTTCGCTTGTGTTCTTAGGCAAGGCACTTTATGCTGGGAAGGTAAAGAGACTCATTTATGATGGAAGAGTGGTGAACCCCTCTGCGGTCTGGCATAAATGCCAAGAAGAATGAGATTGGCACTCCGACTTTTGAACTTGGAGCTCTTTTGGTAACTTTACTTTCATTTACATCTGAAAGCAGTTATTCTTCCCCATTGTAAAAAGTTACACTTTAGATACTACAGTATTTGCACTTTCCCAAAAAGTAGTTCTTATTCTTGAATTTAATGACATTTCTATGAAAAAGGTATGTCATTGGAAAATCGTATGGCCTGCCAAATTCAAATACTGTAATTTAACTGTGATGTTTGTTTATGAATATAGGTAAGTGATTATGCCCTTGCATTCACCACCATGTTCAAAGGATATAAACAAACAGAAAACAGTACAGTATGTCCAAAGACTGATGCTGGAACTTGCATTGTGCTTTGTAATAATAATGCAGTGGATCTTAACCATTAAAATGATTATTCATTTACACAGCATTTTCTTAATTTAGTGATGGTGCACTCAAACATTAAGGATAGACACATTTGAGTTACAGCTGTAATAGCTTTGTAATAATAATACTACATTTATAGCGTGCCTTGTGTATCCCACATCCCTTAGCTACTTTACATTGTCCTACCTGTATTGAATACAATTATCCCCGTTGGACGCAGTCCCACATTTTTTAGTTACTGGCTCTTGTGGGTGTTTGGGATTACAAAATTTAGATAATTATTTAAAGATCACAAGTTAGTATTGATATTATTTGTATTATGTACGTAGTAAAAAAGTAGTGTTAGTAAACCGATACCTCAGTAGTTTGTTGTTAGCATTACACTGAAGCATGAAAGCCTGTGTTACCATGTATTTACGTTATGAATGCTTTGAAAGAGAATAAAGTTTCTTATCAAATTTGTTGGTGTTATGTCTACAATTTTTTTAGTCGGCACTGAATAAATGATACAGGCCTTTGTCCAATAAAAGACCACCTATAATTAAAGACTGAGAGATAGAGCAGCTTAGCTCAGTCGGCTAATCTATTTGTAGCCACTGTGTGTGCGCTGAACCGTGGAGATCTCTGGGTCCCGGTTCATTTCCCATTACTGCCTTTCCTCGTGTTTCAACTACAAGTTACAATAGTGCATCGCCTTTCAGATGAGACGTTTGATGAGACGTTCAAATGAGCCATTGGTGCCGTGTGCATTTATGGCCCATATGCACACTAAAGACCGCAGTACACTGTTAAAATAATAGTAGGGAAATGTGTCCCGGTGTACCTCCCAATCAGCACCAGAAGGACCCCACTGGAAATAAGTCTTCTAGACATTCGTGGGCTATCCTTGGTGAATACACCGAATATATCCAATCCGACCACCTTTCTGGAACCTCAAATGAACGCATATCTTTCTTTAATATTATTTTTTCTAAAGACCAAAGCTGCTAAACTAAAGACCATGAAAAGTGATCTTTAATTGGAAGGAGACCTGTACAATAAATATAAATGTTTTCAGTCATGTAAGTTTGTGTGTATGTGTGTGTTCCAAATATCTCAAAAACGGCTGCACAGATCTAAATGAAAGTTACAGGAAGTGTTAGGTATGATCCAATGAAGAAATGATCTAAATGAAACTTTCCATAATAGAATAGTTTGTCATGTTTCAATGAAGAAATGTTTAAACTTGGGTGACGATCTATTCTTATTACTATTTGCATAATATTTTCATTTTAACAACAATATTTGGCACGTATTTTGTGTCAACTATAAAACGGTCCAGTGTGTTCAACCAGAATGAGTAAGGAATTGGCGGGTATACCGTCCTAATACGATAAAAAGCGTTTCCAGTTGGGTGGGGGCAAATGTAATGGTGGTTTGGAAAAGTGAGTGGCTTGTCACATGTTTTAGTGTGAGTATTGGAAAATAAAATGTTTCAATACTATATGCAGCTTGGATTGTGTGTTCGAAACGTAGGTCTAACATGTGTAGTGCAAAGTAGGCCTACTAATGGAATTTGTTCAGTAGCATTTTCATGGGTCACTTGTAAGTTATGCGCCTTTGTTTAATTCATTTTGTTTTCAAGAAATCTGTCGGTGAGTTTAGATGTGTATCCACGTGCATTAAAGAATTCTTTCATCTCCATTGCTTTAGATCGTTCAAGAAATGAGTCGTTTACTTAATATATTTTTATTACATTTCGCATTTTTATGACTATAGTATAATTAAATTGGTTTAGGCTTATTTGATTCAATATGTAGGCCTATTGTTTTATTATTATAACATTACTATAGTACAATATTTGTTACCGGTACTGTTATTTCTTTACGATTACTTCGCCTGCCAAATTGCCTTAGGTTTAATTTATGACCACTGTATTGCCTTTATTTTGGTTCATATTTACTACAGTATTTTCATTTATATTTATTTTCATCTATGACGTTGCTATAGACATCATCTATTTTATTTAGTTATAGGAGAGTTTTTAGAGGTTCTCTTCCTATACGGTTAGGCCTACATTGTGTCTTTGCGGCTTTTACTGTATCACTTTGACGTTCCCGTCCTTTGTGCTGCATTGTTTTCTGCTTTGCTTTGTTCCCTCTGGGGTGTGTCTATTATCATAGTGCTTAAGGCACTGATTTGTGTTGTCTTTTGTTTTTATTTTATCCTACTGTGTTTGGTTTATTGCTGCGAAGCAGCCAATTTATATTCTTGACAGCAATTTGACCTCTGAAAGGTCATTGTTTGTCAAAAAACAGGCGCCTAAGACGACTGAAAAGCGGAGTTTCCTTCTTTCGTTCTGCCGGGTAAAATCAATTACTTTAGGCGACGTTTGTAGACTAACCTACTCGTACCAACGTCCGCATGTCGCGCTAGCCAGGCCTAGAGTAGCTAGGATGGTAGGCCTAGCCTTGAAGGGACGAAGGTCCCAATGAAAAACAACGTCGCTCCTTGATAATAGCTAACATATTGTCTATTTAACATCACAATAATTCATTATTAGACCTATAGTTGTTTTTTTAATTGTACTCCACAAATCTCAGCCGATACCTCGCATAACTCGTTAACGTCTCGTATCTATTGTCGTGACGTCATGGCTCGCTGGCTCACACTAATTTAACCTCCTTGCTCACACACTTGTGATGTCTCGCACTTGTGATCAAATAACACGCTGGCTCGCACTTTGGCAACACTCTTTGGCAGTCAACTCGCCCCTAGAAAACCCGCTTTTGGAAACTTGCCCCATAAAAAAATGTACACTTCCTAGACCATGCAGTCTTCAAAATAAAAATTGTAACCTTTGGTAATTAACTACATTTTCCACATACATAGAAATTTTTAAAACTTTATTTAAAAAAAACCTAAACCATAATTCACCACTATAGACACATTTTTGACAAAAATGAAAAATTACGACTTTGTTACGCAATGAGAAGTGTTCTAATATAGACAATGGGTCGTGTCTCATATTATTTGTTATATTTTTATTATTCATTATTTTCACTTGACTCGCATAAATAATTTTGTTCGAAGAACAATAATATGCAGTTGTACTTCGCAGCACTTCACTTGCAATTTGCAATTTCTAGTTATATGACATTGTTTGTTTACCCATTGCTATATATGTACCTGTTCCATGTTACAACTCTATGTAAGCCTATATGTTGATGGGCTATGCCCGAATGTCGTATAAATACATCTCACTGAGGCAGATGTATGTGTGTGTTTTTAGATTACACATTTTATTATCTACGTTTACAATAACCATATAAGGGCATACTTGAAAGTCCATGCATACTGTAAACAAATCAAATATAAACGGATATTCAAGTTTGTTTAAATATTTTATCAATGGCAATTAAAGTGTGTATTTTAATCATTAGTCGAGAGTAGGCCTACGTATGCATAACTGTTAAAAGGGACAATATGAAATTTCAGTCTACTTTTAAGCTTCTTCTTGGAGTGTTAATTGTATCACCGGTAGCTTCGTTCTATCCAAACCGTCTTGGTTTGGTACAGTTAACAAAAAATGACCATACTTTAGAAGATATAACCGAGAGTGGTATTCTACTAGCTGTTGCCAAGTACTTTGAATCTATTCCTCTACCTGATAGACCGACACTGAACCCAGGAGATCTCACGGAACTAGAACCACTAACCGCTTCAACTCTGTATAGCGCATATTATGGAG